AAGTACTTGATATGTAGAGACTTTTGCTTTGTTCCTAGACGTATTGGAAGAATATATATATATATAAATAAATACACATACATAGTTATAATGTAAGAGGAATATATATATATATATATTTATATACCTGGACCCCCATTTGTATCATGTTTTTGTTCCGGGTTCGATTCTGAAATTCCTACCAGACCACATGTGCTCAAGTTAAAAGTGTTCGAGTTTCTGATCTTTATTCATAGCAAGTGAGCTAGAAAACAATTGCCAGGTACGGTGACCAAGTGATCCAAAGTCCATAAATTTACAATGAATATGGAAAAATTGATAGGCCCAAAATTACCAAACTAACGTTTTTTCAATTTGCGGCCGTTTGCGGAAATTTGCACTCGTTTTGTGGTTTTTTGCGCTCGTTTTGCGGGTTGCAATTTGCACAGCTTAGGCCAAAAAAACAGAAAATGAACGTTTTTGGCCCGAGCCACTTTGGTTTAGTCAAGATTAGCCTAAATAGCTTTGCAGGGGCCATGCGCCATGCAAAACTGGAAATTAAATATGCGATTTCTGAAGATTTGTGCGTTTGGCATGTTCTAGGAATTTGTGATCGTTTTCGACATGTGGTACGATTTGCAAATGCACAACAAAAATGCTACGAACGAGGCTACAGGTATATATAGCATTCTATCTAGTAATGATATGTAATGATTATATATACGTATATCATAATACTGTATATCCTATGTATTCCTATGTTGGAATACCGTGTTAAGCGATCTTGGTTGTGTTTGTTGCCGTGTTTGTGAAGTCAACATGTTGCTGAAGGCAAGCTAGAGCTTGGTAGTTCAGCATCCAAACAATCCCACCGGGGACATGCTAATCCCACATCCCAATGCTTCAAATCACAGCCATAAGCAATGCCATCCGTAACCATCTCTCACGCAGAATTTGCTTCAGGACAGGCTTCTGAGGAAAACCATGGTTTTGATGAACAAATTTGATGGCAAAAACTATGCAACAACACGTGTAATATATATATATATATACATACACATACATACATACATATATATATATACATATGGTTCCTATCTGTAAATATAATATAATTATATATATACACAGCATATATTTCCCAACTCAAGCCAAGGTGCACAGGCACACATACTCCTTGTCCACCAATCGTGCTGCCAGCTGCGCTTGTAGCCACTTGCCCGCCAGGGAATCCACACCCAGCGCCAACGGCAGGACGCCTCAGTTGAATCAGTTGAATCACCAAACAATGGAGATGTTTAGCATGATATGACTATTGAATATATACTAGGGATATGACACTTGCCATGATTTATGGTTGATTTACTTGTTCAGAATCATGATGTCCCATAATTCCCCTCATATATCTTTATGTTCTTCCCATTCAAATAGTGATTTTCCATAGCTATGTTGGTTTACCAAAGGGTAAGCCCTTTTCTTCCCCTGAAAATTGGAATGTTCCGTTCGCCACCTGAGGTGGGAAAATCCAAGCGCGAGGACAAGGTCAAAGGCGTGCCCAAGCGCCGTCCAAGCTCCGCCACGTACCTCGGCGCGATGCTGCAATGCACCAGGGTGGCCCTGTGACCCAACGAGTTTCTACGAAAAAAAAAAGTAAGGGTAAGGGATGGTAAGGTAGAATGAAAAAGGTGAGCTAATTATGTGTTTAACATGTTTTAAGATGTCTGCAACGTTATTGCAACTTTTTAACCAGTGCAATCTCATGATTGTTTCGGTACTGGAGGTTAATTTGGTGGTTTCTTGAAATAAACTTCAAAATCATCCCATGACATCCCCATGAAAACGTTCTTTTGATGGTGAAACATGTGCCAGGTGGCGCCCTGCACTTTCAAGTTGGTTTCTGAACCCCAGGTAAAATTACCATAAACGCAACAGCTATGTGACTTATACACCAACTTAGCTATGGAAAGGTGGGGAAACAACAGCCTTTAAACCCGAATTTTATATATCACCATTACATCATCATTTTTCATGGCTGGCTAAAACATATAGCAATCCAAGATATGGTACCACCGGGTAATTTTACACAACTATTGGAAGATCAACATCAAACCAGTAGGTGAATCATCGAACTAAATGGGCCATACCCTGACCTTCCAACCTCAAAGTTTACAGTTTTGCTTAGTCTAACCCAATGTCTTTATTGAAACCCATCATTTACTGCCTATCACTACTTCCTCTGGTTTCCCATCCCTAAGTCCAAAAAATAGCATGAATGACTCACACACAAAAAAAAGTACGAGTACTGCGCGCAAAGTGTCACATCAAATGTTCTGTCAGACTTTTAGTCGAACAATCGTCTGAGTCAAACACCACTTTTTTTTGATGGTGTTCACAGGCTTTTCACAATCTTTTAACGCAAGTTTCACTCTGCAAATTTAAAATTGACCAGCCAATTGCAAAACAGCGGTCAAACATGATCAAACAAATGAACAGCTTAAATTCTGCTGTTTGCAACCGAAGCTGACCAATTGTCGGATTCATGTTTTTTGTCAATATGCCTCCCACTCTTCATATCGACCCTGCTCAAACTGCATCTGGATTGAGCCTACACTGTTGACCCACTCTCTGGACCTGAAGACAGGAGTAGCCCCACAGGTAAGCCTTGTGGAGGGTCAAGGATAGTTTTCCAACTTCCAGAGGGTATCAATAGCTAAACTATATAAACCCAACAATTATGTACTTCACGGGAAGATCGTTTGTCTTTGGGGGGAAGCACCTCGCAGTAATCATCTTGAAAATAATATGTTCCATTGTTTTCCTTTTGGCACCACCCAAAAATCCTTTATTTCGAGTGATACCCACCGTGGCATTCTATCTGTTTTTATTTTCTGGCATCCTATCTGACATTCTTTCTGGCATTTTTTTTGGCATTCGGGTCCAGGCGTGCCACACAGCATCTGGAGCTGGCGAGATGGTGTTCGGGCCCAGGCGTGGTCCACAGCATGAGCTTGCAGATGAGGAGACGAGGAGAAAGAGTAGGAGGAAGAGTGGCGTCTTTATAAAAATCTAGAGATCCTCACCTGGCAGGTGGGGCAGAAAAAAATGTGAAATCATTGCAAGAATGAGTTTTCCCAATGGCAACCGACGGAAAGTGAGGCTCCGCACCCTTCCGTAGAGGTGCCCTGCGGCTTGTTGGCCACCAATATGCCAGGCCCTGGATCGGTGCTGGGAGCTCACGAGAAAACATTGTGGATTCATGGGATTCATGGATTGAATGTGTTTTTTTGATGAAAGATGTGAAAATGATGTGAAGTTAACTAGGCCAAATGGGGATATCAATGGGTATCATGGAGATCGGGGTTACAATGGCAATATCAGCAAGACTAGGAGATGGGGGTGTCTGAAGCCGGATTCGCACTGATACAAATGCAGGTTACCATAGGGAAAATGTGTATGCACTAGACAGGTTGGGGGTACCCAATGTTCAAACACACACACAGAGAAAAACCAGGAGTATCCAGGAGTTATATTGTAAGACCTGGAGAACATACTGGACCGGACCAATGGAAGTGTGGCAAGCCATCATGATCCCTACCCGGCTTACCCCCTGAATAGTAACCAACAACAGTAATAATATCATTACTGGGCCCCGTGGCTTGTTTTTTTGGCTGGATGGTAATTTCATAAAATGTCAGCAACTCTGTAGCCCTCGCAGAGGGAATCACTTGCACAGTGTATCCCTTGTGAGTTGAAACGACCAGCAGTTATCAAACAAACACCTATACAGATTCCAGCATGTACTGATGGCATTTTGGAACCCAATCATTCATTCCCCATTCAGTCACTCAATACTTTTTTTGAGACGTGAGGTATATACAATTTCCCGCTTTTGTGGCTCATTTTGGTTTTGGTGAGTTAGGAAAAACAACACGCATACCTCATTTCACCATGTTGGGGTTATGTGTATAGCATCGTTTCCCCTTTGGTTCATTTTTCAGCCGAACCAAAAACTACAACTGCGGAGATTCTGTCATTGGTTGTAAAGACATAGTTTCTCGTGTATCTTCCCAAAGGCTAAACCACCAAAATTCAAAAGCAGTACAACAGATTATGTACATATTTAATTATGTAATATATAATCGATAAAGCAAACATAACAAAGACCAACACACAAATATATATATATATATTAGGGGCAGATGACATAGGGTCGGATAAGTGCAAAAACGACCGCTCACAAGGCACATGACATAGGACTCAAAGATACCCTTTTGACAAAAGGGCAGATGACTTGGACAAGTTCTTGACTTCGGAGGTTCACTAATTTTTGCTATTGGAAAAATCCCAAGTGCAGATGACTTGGGACTTACAAACAACCAAAGAGCACATGTTCCCTCTTTTTCTTGCTCCATTTTTTTTTACAGATGACATGGGAGTTATGCGCCGGCTTAACGGGCAGGCATTTTTCCATTTTTTTGACAGATGACATGGGAACAAGTGAGCCAATTTACACATGACATGGGACTTTACCGCAGGAGATGGGACATCCAAGGTGGGAACTGGCAGGTAGGGAGATGGGAAGAGGAATTTACCGCAGGAGATGGGACGGTGGGAACTGGCAGGTAGGGAGATGGGAAGAGGAATTTACCGCAGGAGATGGGACATCCAAGATGAGGAGGTGGGACATCCAAGATGGGAACTGGCAGGCGGAACTGGCAGGTAGGGAACAACAGGAGATGGGACATCCAAGGTGGGAACTGGCAGGCAGGGAGACGGGAAGAGGAATTCCAAGGGAGACGAATTTACCACATGACATGGGACTTCCAAGGCCGGAACTGGCAGGTAGGGAGATGGGAAGAGGAATTTACCACATGACATGGGACTTCCAAGGCCGGAATGGGACTTCCAAGGCCGGAACTGGCAGGTTGGGACGAAACATGTACCACAGGAGGTGGGAACTGGCAGGTAGGGAGACGGGAAGAGGAAGTTACCGCAGGAGATGGGACGGTGGGAACTGGCAG